CTTTTCGCATTTTTATTGACTGTACTTGCATACCACAAAAGCTGGCGGAACTTATCGTTTTGGCAAATTCCCTTCGCTGATTTTCTTGCCTTTGTTCTCGGTAACCCAGATTTTAAATGCTCAGATTCGTAAAGCTAATGCTTATTTCAACTTTTATTACCTTATTTATTAGATCAAGTGACTAAAGTATCAGACGCTTTTCGCTCAAGTAGACTTTACTAAGTGTGTAGAATAATGTATTACTCTAGGTTTATAGGGATTGGAGTGAAATTAACCAAATTAGTGATTAAAACTTGCACTTTTTTCTGCATTCACTATCTGCGTGTCACGTAGTACTCTGTCGGCGGAGCGGAGATAGCATTTGAGCATCAGTGTTGAAGAATAAAAGAATATGGATAATGCATTGTCAAAACGTGGAATGTTTAAACGTAACCGCTCATTCTTGCTTCTTCACGACATGTGAACAAGGGCTCTTTTTTGGGTAACATAGGTTTTTAGTACATTTCGTCTTGAACATTCCATCTTCTGTTACTGATATTTGATAGAAGTAATTATTTTAAAAAACCTAGCAAATAGTCAAGGCTATGCCAGTTTCCTTTTTGTTCTCTTGCTGATTACTTACTTCTAGTCTTTACAAAACTTTCAATGAGGATCATTCCTTGTAAAAGACCAGAAATTTGGTACATATTATTGCTGGCTGTGTGAGGCATGTGGCTAAAGTCTAGTTTGAGGATATCTGCAGTGTGTCATATTTGGACATGTACGCCTGTAAACTTACGTGTAATCTACTCAGCTACTACAGGGAGCGCATTTTCTGTAGAGTGAAAAGCTCATGATCACTGGTAATGTAGGGGTTCAGTCGGAATGTAAGAATTGGTGAAGTATTTATTATCCGTATCGGAAGCACTGTTGCTAGAGGTGCAAAAAAAATTATTTTTTAGGCAGCGGCTTTTCATGTTGGACTTTCTTTTACAATAACGTGCCTATTCTAAAACACTAGTTTATATGTTGATGACTTACCTTTATTTTTCTGCTTTTCGATAGCTCTGGATATCCGGGGCTGTTCGTCGCAGTCTTAGGAGATAACATGTATGTTTCCCTTAGCGTGTAACGTCTAACTTCAGTAATTCTTCATTTTCCGGTGTCTTGTTTAATTTCACTAGTAGTGGAGACTGTTGATGGTACGCTTCGTGCCTACGCACTCTTTTCGGCCGGAAAAAAGGAGTGAAGACGTGGAGACAATTAAAAAAATTTTTCTTTGCTTCAAAACAGTTCGAATTAGAAATTATGAGCAGTACTAAACTCAGAGCACAGTAACCTGTTAAAGAATAATTGCTAAAAAATTATTTGGGCAAATTCTGCTGGGTTTTTGGAATGAAGTCATATTAGCGAAGCTAGTCGCTTCACATACTGTTTTGATATGAAAACGTATGAAGTACATTATGACGAACTTTCATTGAGATGCTGGTAGTATCTCAATGTTCGAAAGAATAGTACTGGATTGCTTAATGTGGTCCTGCGATATTAGGGTATAAAAGTATTTTTTTGTTATCTAGAAAATTGTCGACATGTGGATGCCAGTTATAAACTACGACAAGCTTAACATGGCTTTAGATTAAATAT